ACCTTAAGGGTTTTCAAACTGGATCTGATTATCTGAGCCTTGCAAGGCTGTGCTGAGTGGAGAGAAGAGTGCACTGCATAACTAAGAGCCACTTGTTTCATATACACATATTCCCAAAGCGCCAGTTCCCAATTTAATCGATGTCAATGGATTCCTTCTAGCCAGAGAAGTGGGGTGCTAAAGTTTCAATAAACAAATACATTTGCTTCGCAACACTCCGGCAGAATAAAGGAGGGGTGGGGTGGGTGACTAGAGGGTAAAGGGATACATGAAGCAAGATTAAGAACCGATCATTGTTGAAGCTGAATAATAGGTACATGGGGGTTCACTACATGACTCTACTTTTGTGTATGTTAGAAATTTTCCATAATAATTTTTTTAATCCACAGAAGTACTAGAAATTTATATGAAATAGACCTCTGCAAATGGGCTGACCTGGCAGCTCACCCTTATCCTTCAGGTGCTCTATCCACCAGCAAACTTAGACGCCAAATGAGGATCACCTGGCCTGTACCTTCCCCTATCCTTGCCCTTGTCCATGCTATTTCCCTCTGCCTGGAATGCCCCCTTCCCTAATACCCCGGATCTGACTATCAAAAATCCAACCCATGTAAGGCCTGGATCAAAGTTATCCCCCCTTCGTTAAGTTTCTAATTACTGCGTATGGAAGTAATCCGTTCCTCCTTTGTACCTCAGAACTTTGCTGGTACTCTCCTGGGGCACGACTCACTGTGTAATGATAACAATCATAAGAATAAGAAGAATCATAATAATAGCAGCTAACATGTACCGAATGTTTCTATGTGCCAGGCACTTTAAATATGTCATCACTTTCAATCCTTATAATATCCTCTGAGGTTATTTCCGTTTACTATTACATTTTACAGATGAAGATCTGAAGCTCAGAGAGGTCCAAGAGGAACAGGGATTTGATTTGATATGATGCCAGATGTGTCACCATAAATTTTAAGCCTCTGTGCTCATGGTCCTTGCTATACCACCAGAACGACATAGTGTAAATTAAAGTCTAGCTTCTGCGCAATTCTAACTTTCAGAAAGACCTGAGAGTCCACATTCTTGATGACTACAATACTGTGTATGCCTAGTCCTCCTAATGAATTGTAAGCTCCTTCAGGGAAGGGACTGTGTACTCTATTTTTTGTCCTCCACAAGCACTGTCTAGTACACTGTTTTATCCATACAAGATGCTCAATAATGTCTTGTTAACTGAACACTACATTAATAGAGAGCAGTTCTGTATTAGCGGTTTTGATGAAGGACTATATCCAGTTCTGGTGATCTACCTGTCTGTCTGCACAAGGAAATGAGATGGACCAATTAGCCCACAGCGGAACTACCTAAGCATCTCTCCTCCTCACCATCTCTGTTCACAAGGCCACAAAACTAAAATAGTTTAAAATAGTTTTCATCTTCCCCCTACACTGGCATTGTAAGTGACCAGAAAGAATTCTTCCCTGATGCTATTTTTACTTCTCCTCCCAGCTGAGGGCTCCCACTGCCTCCCTCTACTAAATCCCCATCCCTAACAGCCTTGGGAAAAGCCAAAGGGAGTTGGACTTTGTCTAGGTGAAGACTTGGGAATCTGGAACTGAGGGAGGCAGGCTGATTTCCCTCTCGAGTTTCCTTTCTCTTATTTCCCTTTCAGTCGTCCTAAACCTGCTTTCTTTCCAAACAAATTACCCTACATCTTAGCCTCTTTGACTGTATTTTGACCTTCGTCGCAAATATAGTAATGTTCTCTGGACTGGCCCTAGGAACACTTGAGGAATAAGCTTGGTTGCCTTCGGTTTCTTCCCCAAAACTCTTTCAACATTCCTCTTCTTCCAGCTACACTTCTTCTTCCTCCAAGGACCCTGTTTATGCTACAGTTCCGTAAGGTCTTACTCCTACCTGGCTTTCGAGAACTAAGAAAGTACTGGCTGATGAGAAGATGTCAACTCATAATATGATTAAGGTCCTCTCTTCTAGCTCTTAATCCAACATCTACCATCAATATGAGCATTTAAATAGAGGAAATGAGAAGGCCTACTAGTCCCAAAAGGATGAGGCAATAATGGTAAAGGGACCAGCAATGGAGTTGAAATCTGGGGCAAAGGCTAGTCACCCATGGCTAGCTCTAAATGTTCCCTCTTCTGGGCTCTCATACCCATGTTACTGTGGTGTTAATATGATGTGAATCTCCTGAAGTTTCTTTTGTTTAGTTATTTGCCTTGGTCATAAATTTTGATATGCCAGTAAAATACCCTGTGTGTATGTGGTGTGTGTGTGCACGTGCACGCGTGCGCGCGCGCGTGTGTGTGTATAAGCACCTACCTACAAAGAGGTAGATGGGGCCACACTGAATTGTGATATATCATATAATACTCAAGTTTTACTTGTCACTCATCTTGACAGCCTTGCATTTTCAAAATTAATTAAAAGCACAAGGGAGCTGTAGCACAATCACCAACCAAAGAATCTTGGCCACTAAGCTAAACATTTAGTCATCAGTGTTGTACATTAAGTTTGAAGGCACATATCACCATTTGGGATTTAAATGTAATAATCAATACCCTACAGGAAATCTACAGTTGCAAAGCAGAATTTTCTATCAGCCAATGCTTTCATTATCAGTGCCTTCTGATGACACATAGCAGTTTATTCTAGGCATTGATTTTACTTTGCTTTCATTTAAGTTCCTTAATATTTCTCCCTCTTCCAAGAAGCAGAGGCTGGGGTGTGGAGATAGGACAGAGATAGTCAATATTCAATAATAAAGTCAGAAGCAATGTCTTATCTACCTGGCCAGGACAATTTTCTGTCAGCATATGTGGCCCAGAGGGGTAGCTTTCCAGCCATGAGCTCCTAATCACCTGGGCCTAGAAGTAACCTGTCTCCTCAATGCTTTCTTCCAGCACCCCCACAGGGCTTCCCCACTTTCTACCCCGCCCCCCCCACCAACCACCACCACTAACTGCCCTTGCTGCAACGAACTATGCAAGGTGGCAGAACCACCCTTAAGCTAAGAAAAACTTTGGAGTGAGTTTGCAATCTTCTCTCATGGATTCTTTAAAAATTTGCTCTAAACCTAAGAAAACTCCAAGGACTTCCTATTTCTCTCTTAATAATGAACAAGTCTCTTTCATATCGAAGCATAACTTCTCAAGGTTTCATAATCAGCCAAACACCATCGCTTCTCTTGCCGCTGAAAAAAATCAAATTTCTCCGTGGAGAAATAAGCTTACGTGCTTTTTCTCTTTATTCTCCTTTATCTTTTATCACAAGAAAATACGCTGACCAAAATAAAGCATTTCTAACAGTGACTTAGAAGAACAAGGATTGCACCAATCTCTCAAAACTACTGCCAACACATTATCGTGTTTAAGCACAGCAATGACTAAACATATAATTTTTCTAAAGATAGCTGGAAAAGCTGTTCACATATGCATTTTACCTCCTTCAGTATAAACTGACCACAACCAAGACTCAAGCATATTCATTTTTCTAATAAATAGGAAAAATATCAAATATGGCATATCACTTTTAACAATTTCTCTGAAAAGTAATAAGCGACTTCCAAAAGCATTCTGATACCAAAACATAGCCTAAATGGCCCATATGGTCTTCTGCTGGATAACCATAGTTATGGAGTGAAACATTAAAATGACAGTAAAGGGTTTCCTTAAAATAGGTAATGGAGGCAGGCCTGGAAGTTTAAAAGCCCTAAGATAATAAAATATAAGGTGAGTTACATTTTCAGGGGGGAAAAAATTGCATTTATAAGCAGCGAATTTGCCTGCTGATTGGTGGGTCAAGGGATGAGTGGTGCTACTGTAACGGAGCAGACTGTGGAGCAGGGAAAGAAGTTTCTTGCTGTCATCATCTAACTACTGCGGCTAGGATGGGTAAGAACTGTATTTTTCTCTCTTCTGCTGCTCTTTGGACACTTTGTTTTAAACGAACAGTTGGTATCAGAGCTAAGTCCAAACACTGTTACATGTGGGATTTCCTAATGCTGAGACCTGGCAGAGCTGCACCGTGTTCGGCCAAAAAACTAAACAGAAATGAGACTACCTCAAAATGTAACAACTGAGCATCCTCATTCTCTTTCAGTGTTTTCATTTAGTTGGAGCAAATGTTTTGCTTTAATGCAATTGAAAAGAAAAGAACATTTAGGGACAACATAGCTAGATCCCTCATAACGCTTCATTTTCCAAAGCAGTGTTTGAATCTCTAAATAAATGACAATTCATTCTCTGTTTACTTTAGGTAAACAGAAAATGCATTGCGGAGCACTCATTTTCAAAAGCTAATCAAGAACATTAGGTCCCAACAGATTCATTTAATAGAAATATAAGGCATTCTTGTCTCGCTGTAAATGCTAAAATGAACAGCAAATTAACCCTGCGTTGGAACAGAGTCCCTGTCACAGCTGATATCCTCTCTCTCACGACTTGTAAACATCCCCGCATCCTGTCGCTGCTTTGACTTCTGCATAGGAGAGAGGAAAAGTGCCTGATTGAGTTTGGCAAGAGAGTGTAGGAATACTTGAATTCTAAAGGGAGTACTGCGTGTTAACTCTGCTATCTTTCCTAGCAGAACAAAATATTACCATGTTGTCTCCTAAAATAGTGTACAATTAGGAAGTAGGAGGAGGGGTGGGGGAGAGATTTTTTTTTTCCCAAGCTACATGTATCAACTGTCTTTCTCTATATTTTTAACTCTACTAGCCGTTCTCCAAATGGCTGCTTATAAACTACTACACAAAACAAGCTAATAAAGACAGGGCCATCCAAGCTCTACAATCAGATATAAAAGATTTGCAAACAATTTGAGATCTTATAATTAATATTCAGCGATATCAGAATTAGCATTTAGTACTCTACACAGAAAAACTATAATACTTCATAAATTATGTAATAATGAACAAACCCTTTCAAAAACTCTTTTCACTGTGCTAAAGTAACATTCTAGACTTGTTGTAAGTATATTATTCTTACAAGTAGTTCGCAGTTATTCTTGAAGGCAAGCCTTGGAGTTTCCTTAGCATAGTGCTGCTGGGGAAAATTTTCAGCATGTCCATCTTCATCTCTAGCCTGAAGGGAAATATAATGGCCTATTTAGGGACTTACAAATAATGGAAGAAAAAAAAGCTAAAAGCATAACAGCTCAGATCATTAAACAAACGGGAATCCAGAAATAACAACATTATTAAGAAGTTTGTTTAAATACGCAGTACGCCTTTTAGATATGAAAATTTGGGATTTTTTTTTTTCTTTACGAAGTTTAGTTTGAACATGCAAATTCGTTGTGGGGTAATATTTAAAACAATATGATAAAAGCAAACCAAAATAAAATAATTTTGTTGGAAATTACCACCACTTCAGTCTTCCAGTGACTTTAGTTGCACATTTAGGATTATATGACATACGTACGTGTTTAAACTTTTTGGCATGCTTAAGCAACCTCTAGATAATGAATGCACTTTTTAAAAATTCTAATAGCAAGGCCATAAGAAAAGCAATTTGCATAGTTATATTTTGCATTGTAATACTATTAGAGATTCCCCTCAATTTTTAAATAAAAATCTGAAAGGAGCAATGATCTAGTAAGAACAATGATTCTTCAATCAAAGGCAGTTAAAAATAGATTTAATTAAGAAGCTGCATTAAAAGTTACTGGTTATTTTGATCTACACTGTTAATTAAGAAAGCTGAAGTTTAAATGGAGACATTAACAGAACCCATCAGCAATACCACTTGCATACAGTCTTCTCTTTCTAATCTTCATCGGTTTCTGGTTTGGAGTTGGAGAGAAGGGAGAGGTAGGTGAAAGGAGGCGTGTCTGCAGCACACTCATTAAACCACTCATTTGGGTGACACTTGCACTCTGTTCTGCTCTCATCTCATCTTAGCCCTAACTGCTCTCTCTTTCCTGGCCTCCTGAAATTCACAGCTGAGCTGTCTCCCTCACATATGGCTTGCATATAATTATGCATATTCCATTTTGCACTGCATTAAAATGATGAGCTCCTGGCTCCCTGCCAGCTGAATTTAAAAAGCCCAAGTGAAGTAGGAAAAAGGAGAGAAACACAGGGAGAGCCGCACAGGAAGCAGCAGGTAGTTCTGTCTGCTGTCTCTTTAGATAAAATGTATGTCTGGCACCAAGGGAACAGCTGAGAACTACCTGTTGTGATGTATGGATTGAGGTGGAGAAAACAATGAGCATAGCGACGACAGCGTTTATGTATTGTTTCTCCTCTAATGGAGTGAAATCTGCCCGCTGACAAGTATCACTCAGAGCTCCTCGGCTAGACTGCAGATTGTCATTTTAGAAAGGGATCCGTGGTTTGTACATTTGAGAATGTATAGCTTGGTTTCCATAAAGGCTTCTGCTACTTATTGCAGGGTGGGAAACGGATGGAATTTGGAAGTGGAATGTCACTGGCACTAATACTTGAGTTTCTAGAAGTTTGTGGGGGGAGAGAGCACATGCTCTATTTTGATTTCATTTTTGAGATTTATGAACATCTCTGGGATTTGGTGTCTTTTTATTGTTCCTTTCTTCCCCCTTAACAAATCGGAATAAAAGTAAAAATGCAGGTATAAGACTGGACTATATGTGACAGAGGAAAATGTGTAAGCAGTGGTCGTGTCTAATGGCTATCAAGGCACTGAAACCCGTGATGTTTCTTCTCTCTGCATCAGTTCTAGTGTGCAACTCCATTAAGGTTTAAGTAAATATAGGCTTAAATGGGTCCCATTTTAAAGTGGAGCATATAAATAAAAGGCAGCTAAAGAAAGCAGTGAGATGTCAATAGGCAGGGACGACGTTAGATTCTTCGTAACTGAATTTTAAGCCACTCCGTGAGGTATAGGTCTCTCGAAGACAACAACGTCTATTTTATCTTTCTTACTCTGCCATGCCCAGTGCCTTACTTTTAGTTGGTACTTAATGAACATATAAGTGGTGGGGAAAAAAAAAATTCATACATGGATCGCAACTAGACCCTACCATAAACAACTCTGTACAAAATGCCACCTCAAAATATGGCTAAACTTGGTGGAGGTTGATCGTATTCCTGATGCACTCTGATACATATGCTTGGAAACACACTTTGCATATAGTTTACAAGGGCTACTATTTACATATGTATGTCTATGTTCAATATATATGTATCTTGTATATAAATATTCATAAGGTAGAATATGTTTATTATGCATGTACTATGTATACACATTCATACACACCAGATGCCTGGGGATATTTTCAACATTAGTGGTAAAAATACATTCATTCCGCTTACATGTAAGGTGCTCACAATGTTTTTTATGTTTTTAAAGAACAAAAAAATTCTAAGATTTGAATGTGCTTCCTCAAAGGGGCTATAAGATTTCATATAAAGCCTCATAACTTATGAGGCTAAATAAAGCAGCTGTGTAAGAGAAAGGAGAGGGGAATTAAGGTGACTGGAAGTGGAGAAAGCCAGAAACTTGCTTCTTTATTGAACCACATATTTGCCTCTGCATCAAACTCATGTGGTGCTGGCAGAATGGTCTGCCTCTGACAATCAACTTGATTCCAGAGTCTAAGAAACTATTTGCTGCATTTCCACAGCACGCCACAGAGACGGAAAGCACCTGACGTGCGAGGAGACCCAATACGATCACCTCCGTGGGTACGCACACTCGTACTCACGCACACTCGCACACTCACACTCACGCGCCCTCTCACCGAAGTGATTCTCTGCATTCTGAAGTTTTGTAAGGTAAAATTTAAAATTATTCTTACCAATTGAGTTAAAATAATTGCATTCATCTAAGGAAGTAGTTCTGTACTCTGGCTGCAATTAGAATCATTTTTTTTTTTTTTATAACATATTGGTGTCTGACCTCTCTTCCCGGCCTCCCCAGACTTTTCCAAGACTGATTTAATTGGATCAGGGTGGGGCCTGAACATAGGTGTTTTTAAAAAATAAATAAATAAAAAGCTCTCAGGTGACTGTAATGTACAGGCAGGGCTGAGAACCACCTGTCTGAGGAGAGTGGCTACCAGTACCAAGAGGAGGCCTTGGCAGAGTTGGCAAAAAAGATTCCAGAGATTCCATGACTAATGCCTTGTGGGCAAAAAATTCTATTTATTTTTAGTGTCTGGTATAACAAATAATCATAGAAGAACTACTAGACCACTTCCTCAAAAAGGCCTTACTGAACCTCTCTAGCCAGGTGAAATATCTCCATTCTCTTTCTCTTAGACTAGACACGTGCACCCTTACATGGGCTGGCGTGATTTTGGCTGCCTCCACTCCACTGTAAGCTTCCCAAAGGTAGGATGGTGTCCGGTTCATTACCACTAGATCTTCAACAGTAAGTGCTCTGTAGGCGTGGTCTCTGTTATCAGTCTATAGCAACTTGGTGGCAACATTAGACAAAATCCACAGGAATTCCCTTTCCCTCCATGTCGAATAATCTTACAGTGTTTTATAACCTCTTATATATTGAAGCCAGGGCCTTATCCTGCATCTACCCATTTTGGGTGGCCGACAATGGCATATCAAGGGGGTGGGGGTGACAAGGGAGCTGACAACCCCTACAGGGAGGGGTGTTTAAACCCTGAAGACGTTCAGAATCACCGGTCATGGTAATAACATAAAACAGACTGACTTTCAGCTGGTTTTACTATTGTTCTTAAATTCTCTACAGATGATGCCTTCTCTAATTGCTTGTCTCGAGGCAGACCACCCCACTGCCAGCTCTTGCTATCCACTGGGGCCAGGAGGCCTGTGTTGATGTCTGACTTTGTTCCGGAGTGACCAGTTCTGACAGAAGGAATGTCAAGACACATCATGATGAACTAACTCTCTCCGTGTGTCTTATTCAACAGCCTTATTCTGACTAATATGATAGATATTTGTGCCAACCCTGGAGGAAAGCAAATGGGAAACTGTTTTTTTGTATTTGACTACAAATGTGACTGTAAGACCAAAAGTGCATTTTTGATCTATTATTCTAAGACAGCTTCACTTCTGCCATAAAAATAGAAATAAAAATTAAAATCCTTCAATTAATCTGCAAGGGGATGTCCCAATCTTGCTGACAGTCATGCATCCATTCTCACGTTGTGCCTAGCACTTGAATAAATGTTAGATTATGGGAGAAACTTAGACTAATTGCCTCTCTACTTCAAAAATCTCTGGCTTTAACAAACTTTGTATTCATCTCTCCCTATGAATCATCCCTAATTCACTTTTTTATTATGACTGTTCCATACAGCAGACTTTCGTTCTCCCTCAAAGAGTTCACTTCTTCCTTTGGACCAAACTTTGGTGCCCATGCATATTTGAGCAAGGTCAGCATTCTGCCTCCTCTAGAAGACTCCTTTAGAAAATGTAGAACCTTCTAAAAACAGCTCCATTTACCTACCCCAGAAAAGTGAGATGTTTCTGACTCAATGAAAAGGTTAACACTGCTGCCATTTAAGTAGAAAGGTAATCAGGCTTCCAGAGTTAAGACCTCTCTGCAATGAATGGGAGTTTACACCTCTGTGTCATTGTGATTTCAGAATTTCTTTTGGAAACAAGAAAAGGTTCTGCCTGGGGAGAGTTCTGCAGAGTTTCCAGACTTAGCTTTCCAGAGCTGTGGCGGATGTAACACATGTCATCTCACACATGTGGTGTCATCACCAGACTTGGGAACATCAGAAATAGTGCATCTCAAAGTTGTAGAAACAAGCTGAGAGATGAATAGTTGTAGAGAAAAAAATTTATATTTCATAAATAATTTTTCGAACCAGAAGTAATAGAATTTCTTTTTCAAAATTCAAGATAAAAGCACAGGGATACCACTTCTGAAAATTTTTGGAATTTTATTTTCTGATATCCCATTTTCTGCTCTATCCTTCCTTTGTCAAATGCGTACACATGTTCTCTTGAGGAAGCTCAGAGAGAAAGAAACAACGCTGTCACATGCGGCCTTTCAGTGTGTTGTGAACTTGACATAAAGGTCAGCCCATTTTCTTTGCCTCTCAGTGAAATTCCCTGGGCTGGAATAACAAAAGGAAGCCTGAAGAGTAGTTACTGCTTCCGCTTGAGTTACTT